AACTAAGCTAAGGTAGTATCATTACCAGCTCTACTAGCTCTATAAACCTCATTCATAACCTCATCTATAATCTTAACATCTTTATCATTTCATATCTGAATCTTGATTAATTCCTAAGTCGATTCGAAGTATCTAATAGGATTATTTTTCTTATTTCCTGATATATATATCCTACTTACTCACTTACTCATCTATTTACTTATTTACATATTTACGTATCTACTTCTCTACCTCATCATTTCATCTCATCTTCTTCCCCTCTCCTCTCTCCTTCTCCTGCTCTCTCATCTCACCTCCACCCATCCCCATCCACCCACCTCTAAATACTCATTTCCTATTATCATCCCCTTTTACAATTCCCTCTATCTCCCCCTCCTCCACCCTCTCTTTCATTCACGCCTCCATTCCATCATCCCATCATCTGAAACCTCCATACCCTGTTCTTTTATCTCATCTCATCATCAAAACCATCTCCATCCTATATTATTCATCCAATCATCCCATCCCATTCCATCCTATTCAATTACCCACAATCTCTATCCTATCTCATCTTATTCAATCTATTCATATCCCTATTATTCAGTTATTAATATTACAATATTGACCTCTCATATACCGTTTATCTACTCACTATCCAGTTGCTCACTCACCCACTCACTCACTCATATACTAACTTACCTCCCTATTCACCTACTCATTTATATCTATACTAAATATGAAGTGGGCCCCTTTAGCTTCATCTTCATCTTTATTTTAAACTGTATACCTTAATACCTATTCACTTATTTATTCATTCATCTATTTATCTATTTGCTTACTCCTCTTTCTATCCCATCCCATTCTAACCCATCTTATTCCATCTCCATTCTTTTATTTCTTCTACTTCTATTACTCTATTCTATTCCATTTTAATCTATCCTATTCCACTTTATCTCATTCCATTCAATTCCAATCAATTCTACTCAATACCATTTTATTCTGTTTCATTAATTTTATTCTGTCTCATTAATTTTATCTCATGTCATTCTCTTTTCTCTCTTATCTTATTCATTCATCTATCTACCAACTCACCTACCTCTCTTCCCTACCTCTCTCCATTTCTCACCGATTTCCATCCACTAATCTCCCTCAACTCCCGCATCTCATCTCACCACCCATCTACATTCTCCTCCTACCACCTACCCTCGTCCCAATCCCAAATCCCAAATCTCAATTTCATTCCCCACTCCATTCCTTTCCCTCAAACTCCTTATTCCATTTTTCTTCCATTTCTATCCTCCCATTCCATCTCTACCCTTTTATCTTCATGATCACTTTATTCCATCGCAACCCCATCCTACCCCATTTTAATCCTATTCTATCCCATCCTAATTCTAATCTATCTCGTCCAGTCCATTTCATCCCATTTCATTCATTTATTCTTATTACCTATTCCTCTATTTAACCTACTCTGTACTACTTCTACATTTACCCACTCACATCTATATCTATTTACCTACCTACCACTTACCACTCACCCCTCCTACACCTACCCTCCTATTTACTACTTATTTATCTACCTAGTTCTTTATTCATTTTATTCATTTATTTATTTATTTATTTATTCATTCATTCATTTATTTATTCATTATTCATTTATTCATTTATTCATTTATTCATTTATTCATTTATTCATTTATTTATTTATCCACTCATTCATTCATTCACTCACCAACCTATTCATTCATCTCAACTAATCATATTATACCACTATATCACTAACGTAGTTTATCAGTGGGTTGATTATATCAATGGATCAGCTATTTTTACCTCGAATTATTATTTTATATTCAACATATGTTTTCTTCATAATTAATTATGAAAATTCATTTTAAAAAAGCATATATAATCTTAATTATTCAAGCTATTGAATTAAATAAAAAATTATCAATTCGAAAGATAGCTCAACTTTATTATATACTTTAAATTATATTAAATGATAAAATTCGAGGTAATCTAATATGATTAAGAATTGATTAAAAAGTTATAATTTAATTGAATTAGAAGAGGAAATATTTATTCAATATATTTTTAATATAAATTTGAAAGGTTTTTTTATTCAAATTTAAGAATATAGAAGATATAATGAATTATATTCTTAAATCAAAAAGTATAAAATATATTGAAAAGCTTTGGGTATATTAATTTATAAAATATTGAATTAAATTAAAGATATGTTTTAGTTATATTTATGATTTTTAAAAAGCTTTTTATAAGGATCTTAAGTTTATTGAAGAGTGATTTTAATTAATTATGAATATGTAAATAAAATATAGTATTTTGAATAGAGATTTCTATAATTTTAATGAAATAGGCTTTATAATGGGAATTATATGCGTATTAATGGTTATTATTAGTACTAAAAGATATGGTAGAAGTAAATCTATATAGTTAGACAATCGAGAATGGGCTATAATAATAATATATGAAAATAGAAAGGGCGAAACTATTCCCTTATTTCTAATGGTTCAGGGACAGGTTTATCTCTTTAATTAATATATCGAAATCAATCTTTCTATAAAATAGACTATTAAATCTATATCTAATAGATGGACAAATAATGAGATAGGTTTAGAATGATTAAAATATTTCGATAAATACATTAAGAATTAAAGAAAGAACAAATATTGAATATTAATACTAAATAAATATAAAAGTTATAAATTAGTAGCTTTTTAAGTATATTATAAAGAGAATAATATTATATATTTATATTTACTATTATATTTAAGTTATTTAATTTAATCACTTAATATTGATTATTTTAGTAATTTAAAATGTTTATATAATAATCAAATTGATGAATTTATTAAAATATATATCAATCATATTTTGAAAATTAAATTCTTTATAGCTTTTAAAACTATATACAAAGAATCAATCATTTTTCAGAATATAAAATCAGGATTTCGAGGAATAAATTTAATCCTATTCAATCTTGAAGCTGTACTCTCGAAATTAAATATTCGAATTCGTACATCTACCCCCCCCCTCTTTCAACCTAAATCAATAAATTTCTTAAATCCCTTACAACCTAATTAAAGCTTTTTCTCAATTAATATTAATTAAATCTTGAATAATTCATTATCAAACAAGCTCTCCTATACTTATATTTGAAACTATACTAGCTTTAATTAAGAGTATAAAAAGATTAGCTTATAAAAACATACTTTTAAATATAAAGAATTATACATTTCAAATAATAAATAAAGTATTAAGCAAGTATTAATATATATAAAAAACCTAATTATATTAAGAAGGAATGTTTATTAGATAAAAAGCTTTTGATATATTATTTTAATAAAAGGTTAATATTTAGATTTAATATAATGAATATTAAAAAGAGAAGAATTTTAATAAAAAAGCATTTTTTAATTAATATTGTAATAAATACAAAAAGATAAATTATAATATAAGAACCTATTAAAATAATATAATAGATTCTAAATTATTAAATTCTAAATAATTTTAATTAATTAATTTAATTGTTGTTGAATAATATAGCTTTAAAGTAACAATTCGAGGTAAAAGTGGCTGATTCATTGATATAACCGATCCACTGATAAACTACGTTATATCAACATTCTCTCATAAATACCTTTTTATTAATCCCACCCACCTACAAAGCAATCGATTCCCTCACTCCTTGACGCTCATGCTACCTAAATAAACTAGCTCGCAGTGCAAAATAATGGGCACCATATATACCTTTTATCCAGACACATGACCTATCTATCATTCATCATAGCACATACACACAAACATTTCTCTTCTTTAACATTGATTATAATTGATTCCTCAATTCATTCTTCTCTCCATAAACTTAATCTGGTATCCACTTATTCACTATCCACTATCCATTTACAACTTCTTCCTGCACACGCCTGCTCAAAAAGCAGTATGTGATATATGGTATCGTGTTCATTTTTCCTTCAGTCCTTCCCTGCATTCCTATCCATTCCATCCCATCTTCCTATCCATTCCATCCCATCTTCCTATCCATCCCATCCCATCTTCCTTTCCACATCCAATAACTATCTTCCCATTTCCTACCAACCCTATCATACCATCGGTCCATTCTTTTCCTCTTTCTCTACTCCCATCTCATCCAATTCCTTTCCTTCCCAATGTAATTTGATATCTCTGCATGCCATGTAAACGATACTTCAAAAAAAGAAAACTCCACTACACCTCCGCTTTCGCTCCAACATATGCATTCTACCATCAAAACCATCAATCCCCCATGCATTCACTCAAAATCCCCAAAGACATAATCAAAGTCGTCCAACTCCCCATTCCATCCATCCATCACACATGAAAATCCAAATGAATAATATAATAAATAGGTAAGTTGAGTTCGAGTTCTCCCAAGAGCCGGTTAGATTGAAGACGGAAGGATTGAGAGGTTGAAGATATAAATTTGAATGATACGAAACAGCCTTTGATGATTTGCTCATGGCATGTCATAAGAAACCATTTCAATCATTCCCTCCACGTTGGTATCGAAAAAGAAAAAAGAAATTGATTTCGAGAATAAGTCGAATTCTCAAAAGAAAGAAAAAGGTATGCCAGAAAAAGGTATGACAAAAGAAATTCGTGCTCCAATCATTCAATCATTCGAATCGTATGCTATCATTATCAAATTCATATTTTGATGCCGCTTCGAATCGAATTGATATAAATCTTAATGGAGGATGTGATGAACAAGGGTAAACCGAAAGATTTGCCGATGAAAACCAATTGTCTTGGCTTTGAGTTTGCATGCTGCAAAGGTATCGTATTTGAAACCACCGATGATATTAAAAACGCCATGGATATGCTGATGTTGTTGATATGATTTGACATAAGAAATCTCGATTGAGTCGCTGGTGTCGTAAAGACATTATGAAATTCGTTTTTCTTTTGTCAATTTATAGCCAATGGCCACAAAGAATAAAATTTCGTCCGTTATTGTTGATGGTTCATTGAGATGCTTGAACACACCAATGTCGATGAAATACCCATGCACTCTTTTGACATTCTTTGCTGCAGTATTTAGTTCTTCGGCATCTTCTGCATTTTGCAAATTGTCGAGTATATTCTTCCCACTTTCCACATTGATAATATGCACATTGTCTGATGCCTCCACGAGCATCATCCTTTCGGCACAAATTTCTCATAACAACTCCGGCCCAGTATTGCATATCTTGACTGTGATGTCTGACGGTGAACTTTTCGACCAATGGAAAGATATTGAAATCATCTGGAAGTAAGTATTCTTCTTCTTCGGCTTCCTCGTCGTGAGATGAGCATGCGGCTGGAGTGGTAGCGTTGGTCTCATCAACATCTAAAAGTTGAAGTTCGGAACCAATTTTAAGTTTAGGAACCAAATGAGATTGTTGAAAGTAAGATCTCAAGTTGCAATATTTCGAAACGTATGCTAAAAGTTGGAGAGACATTAACACATCTTCATCTCTTGGCATGGCTGCCAAAACTTGTCCCTGTGGAGGTGTTGGTCGATCTAAGAAGTATCTTGGAATTGTGGTGGGTGGCATGGTGGGTGGTGTATTAACAGTCGTAGGTTGAGCTGGTGAGAGACCAATTGCTGGCCCAGTTGGAGTTGTGGCATCATTAATCATGCTACCATCCATGGCAGATCGGTGAGTGATATTGAATGTCCCGGCATCCTGTGCTTCGGACACGGTTGGAGTGGTAAGACCAAGGGGTGTTTCAACGGCAGTGAGCATTGAATCATTTTCATCCATGTTGACATCTTGAATATTGACATTTGTAGCTTGAATTTCCGCGGTGCTCACGCCGGTAATTTCTGGTTCCCCGGATTCATCAGATGCCATGCTATCAGCATTCATATCATCTGTATCAGCAGCAGAGGAAACTTGATGTCTAATGGATGGGCGTCTTCGTGATCGAGGGGTACCAACGGACATTGATGTCGCTCGAACGGTAGGTGATCGCATTTGTGCGGGAGGTAGAGGAGTTGTTGGTGATTCGGGCTGAGATGCCAAACCACCCTGGAATCCTGGTAGCATTGATGGTAAACGGTCAACATCTCGAACAGGTCTGATATTAAATCCATCGGCTGTGTCCATCGAAGGGACTGCAGTCGCAAGTGGTTGAATATTATGGCGTGGTGATAAGAAATGTTGTCTTGCATCCTGATTTCTATGATGGTGATGTCTGTGAACAGAGAATGTAGTTCGCTCTGGAGGAGATGTGAGAGCGAATTGAGGCCCAGTTGGTGTAATATCCATGGCATCCGAGCCATTCATCAACGTGGCACCCGCCGAGAGGTTCGAGGGAATGTCGAGAGAAGGTGGAGGTGGTTGACGCCTTGATGCTCGAAATTCGGATTCAAATCGCGATGCTCGATTACCAAATGAAGGCCCCTTGTGTGTACTTCGATGTTCTCCTGATCTCCCATTTTGATGTCTATGTTCCAACAAAGCTTTCTGCTTGGCTTCTTCGGCCTTCTCTCTGCATCTATCAACCACTTTAATGTAATTGTCGAGAATTGTTGCGATGACTGGAACCATATCTGCTTCAACAACCCTGGTTCGAACGTTTTCCGAACCTCGTACACCAATGTTCACGACACATTGAAAAGCCAAATTCCATTTCCACATATCCATCATGTCTTTACTTCGCCCAGCCTTCAAGAGGCACACTAATCTTTCGACACCTCCATCGACCGTCAGGATATCTCTAATTCTAGCGGATGAAGTGGTGAGATAAGCAAGATGATTGAGCGAATTGATCAGAGGTAGTGTCGAAGTACAATCCAGGGCTCGACGATCGTACAAAGCTGTCGTGATACCGACCGAAGCCTTATTGACATTTGGGATGCTGAAGTTGACTTCTCTCATGATGGAGGGTTGATCCGCAGATGGCGGTTGACGAAGAGGTGATGAGTTTTATCGATCGAAGTGTTTTGGAGGCGAGCCTGCCACAAGGATGGGAATTATATTTAGGGGGAAAAAAAGGTGATCGTATTACCAACAGTGTAGATTGATGAATTGATGGATCGTTGTGTGATGAACTGGAATACTTGCGGATTCCAAATGCAAGTCTTTGAGATTCTTCTTCCGACTCTTTTGTTGAGGTAGGGTACGATGGATGACTGATTTGAAATTTGAGACTAAGCTGGAATCTTAAAAAAGGAAGAGGAAAGATGTCGCAAGCCAGAAGTGAGACAGACGAACAGACAATAATCACTGAATCGTCATTGATAATCCAGATTAATGTACCAACGTCGGAGAAAGTGTTCTAGGCCGGTAGATATAGTATAGAATTGAAAATGAACCAAGAGAAGTTGGAATTACTCTTGAATGATTGATTAATGGAGGAGAGGAGATGAGATGAGAAGAGGGATCGTGAGAGTGAGAATGTGAGCGTGGTGGTGGTAGTTGTAGTGGTAGTGGTAGTGAGAGTGTAAGTGTGAGTTGTTGGTGATGGATGAAGGAGATGAAGAAGATGAAGAAGATGAAGAAGATGATGAAGATGATGAAGAATTAGCCTCGTGTGTGTGTGTGCGTGGTTTGCGTGGTTTGTTGTGAATGGATAATCCTCTTTTGTGTATGTATTTTTGTAGAAGAAAAATTCGATTATGAAAAGTCGAGAAATGGTGGTGTGTTTGGTCGAGGATGGTGTTAAAGCAGGAGAAAGGACCAAAGGCTCGAAAGGTAGGTAGGTTGGTGGCCGTTGTCGCGGGTCTTACTAGGTACTTTATCTAATCCATCCAAGCGCTTTCTGCTTGACTTGGAAATAGAATTGGATTGAGTGGAATTGAGTTGAATTGAGTTGAGTTGAGTTGAGTTGAGTTGAATCGAATGGAATTGAATTGAATCGGATTGGAATCAAATTTGGAGGGTATACTTTGGGAGTATTATTATTATTATGGTTATTATGATGATGATGATGGGAAATTGTCTTTCCTCTGGTTATACCTACTCTTCTCCTTTCCCCTTTTTTTGTTTCCTTTTTCTTTTCCTCTTCCTCTTCTCTTTCTTTTTCTTTGGACAAGAATCTATGGTATCAAGCTTTTCTCCCGATACCTCTACCTTGAATCCTTTAAAACAGAGAGTGATTGATGATATATAGTACAGAGGGAGTGTGCAGTAGGGTATGGATATAGTATGGATCTGGTAACTATGGATATATGTGTGTGATAACTGTAGGTCGGTGGTCGGTGGTCGGTGGTCGGTAATCGGTGGGTGGTCGGTGGTCATTCTCCCATGGCAATTGTGGAAGCAAGAAAAAGAAAGAAATATTTATAGTGTGATAATATGCGAGAATATGTAATAATGTGTGACAATCCCTTATTAAAGGCTTAAAATTAAAGGTTCGAGTATCAAGGAAGGTTTAGAGAGTAGATCTTCAATCTGAAGAATTTCAATCCCTTTAAAGGTTTATTGATTCCTCGTGAACTTTTGCACTCTTCTCATGAAGATATTGAAATTCCCTCATTCGTACATAGGATATCAATCCATCAACAACCCTTCTCTTCACTCCCTCTCTCCCTCTCTCCCTCTCTCCCTCTCTCCCTCTCTCTGTCTCTCTGTCTCTCTCATCTGTATTCCAATTTATTTATTGATTTGCTTGCTTATATCGAAAACGCCCGTGCTTTCATTCCGGTTAATAATGGGACACCTCTCTCTGGAGTCTCAAAGTCGCTTCGATCTTAATAATAGGAAATCTAGGATGGGTCTTGGTCTGGCTAGATATTTATGGGTTTTGATAAGATTGCGAGGTAGGCGCGCTCGAAGAAGATGGGTTATATGAAGGGTCACATGAATTGGTGTGAATACGATGTAGGTATGAATTGATGTAAAAAGATATTGATGGTAGACCACGGCAGAATCGACGAAGATGTATGGATTGGATATAATGCTATAAAATACAATACCATACAATAATAAGAATATAAACGAGAGAACACGAGAGGAGAGGAAAGAACAGCAATCGAAAAAAGCTCAATTGTCAAATGATGATGAATACTAATAAGTAGGTATATACTAGGTCATGACCGAGTACAGATCATAGTACTGGAGGAGAAACAACGCCCAATACGGGATGGTCAAAGGTTATTGTATCGACAACAAACTACGATAATGATGATGACAATTTGAGAGTCTCGAGTAACGAAGAGATAAATACCATTAAAAGGTCAGATCATATATGTACGGAATCACATTTCTATATTCTGCATCTGCATCTGCACTGAACACTCGGACAATGATTTGATGATTGTTGCTTCTTTTCTCTCCATGTAGGTACCTAGGTGTGTTTGTGACTTTCTCAAAGTTCTTGGCTCTTGGTATTCCGGTATCTATCTAATCAAAAAATCAGCTGCGTGGTCACTCATTCACACAAACCCTCCTATCCCACAGCTGAAAAATAAATCAAGGGTCCTCTCGATATTCCTCAGGGTATCCAAACTAAAAGACGGTACGGTACGGGAGAAAGAATTTGGAACAATCGAAAAAGTATAAAATACCTAGATCAGTCCTCTCATGTCTGCAGGTGATGAGTCCAGTGGCTGATTTCCAGAAGCTAGAGTAATGGCAGTCAACCAGTGAGATTCTCGCAAATCACATTTAGATCTTTCCCATGAAGCTTGATAGAAGTTCGGAGAAAGAGGATGCGAGACGATATGGATGATCTTTGGGACGGACGTCCTGTGCCCGACCTAGTCGATATCTATCTACCTATAGACTGGACGGATGCCGCTCCAAAGCATATCTCCTACTACACCTACCACCTACTATACCAAACTCTTCCCTCTCTCCCGTATCGTCCTCTGCACTATGAAGACTTCTCAATTCCTCCTCCAATCGTGGACAAGCTGCAACACATCTCGGTGGCGATATTACTAAGTAGTAGATGTATTTTAGATATGGGGAAATAATTCTACAATGGGATTTCTTTGCATGCAGCTATGAAAAGTAATTATGTAGACGGATACATGTTAATCATTTCATTCTGGTACTGTGATGTCTTGCAGATAGACTGGCTGACTGTAATACCATTTTGTTCTAGAAGGAAAGCCTCTGACGCCGTAAAGGGACAGCTGAAGATTGGGCGTTCATATTAGTAGACATGTAACTTCTTGAAGGTTTTCATCAATAAGCCAAGACATTTGTATCCTGTATACTCCGTGCCGTACAGCTCTCGTTGAGCGTTGAACAACGCATAATCTTTAATCTCATTGTTTCAAGGACTTTGATTGTGGTGATTGAACAATACAATACCGACCGAATCTACCTCCCTCCGTCCCTAGGCAACCACATACAATGATACCATAGTATAATACACCGCTTCTCCAAAAAGAGAACGATGAAACCATTTCTGCATCGCATTTCTTCCCATCACGAGGTGTGAGGTTTCTGTTCTTGTTTCTGTTCTTGTTTCATATGGGTATCTAGGTACCGCCACAGTGTGATTTCTTTGGGGCGAGAGATAATCGTATATGATATACAAAATCAGACAGTGACGATGAGTATATCCAAGGAAGAGTACTCCCGTTATTCATTTCCACCGATGAGAACATATTGCATGAGGAACAAACTGAAACTAAGAGATTGGATATCAATCAATAGACTACCTAGGTATGCTTTGATACATTGAAAGTTGCCTGTACCTATCTCTTCATATCACCATAACATCTCCACAGTTCACGGACTTTGGTGATACCTTCAATTATCAGCCAAAATGACATTTTCATCTCGATAATTCCATTTCTCTTCTACAGATATCGAATCCTCAATCCCAAATCAATTCTCCACTCGACGATACACACCCTCATACAGCCTATATATTTGTCTCGGACAATTTATGCATCGCTCAAGACAAACGCCTTTTCCGGTCAACATGTGACAAAAACACTCCAGCCAAGCTGTTCACAACCAATCACATTCCTGTCTTTTCCCTTCCACCAGAATCTCTTCCGGATATTATTGGCGCCCAAAAGATCTTTCTTTCCTTTTTGCACAAGTACTACCTCGAGTACGTACCTAAGGTAAGGTTACTTACGAAGCACTTGATCATCAAACGTCCGTTCTCATCACCCATCCCGGATTCCCCACCACCGCTGTCAAAACTCTCTTCACCGCATCTCCACCCACATGAGACTTTCTAGTCATCAAACCGTCTGTGTCATTCATTCATTCATCCATCCATCCATCCATCCACCATCCTCTCGCCTCTTTCGCTATCATCAACTTTATCTTGCACATCCACGGATCTTGTACCGAGAAGCCATCCATCCGATCACTTAATTAGTTAGTTGCCGCCCGCCTTGGGATTTGTCATCAACCCTTGACTCGAGCCGGAGACAATAAATATATCCCTAACCCATAACTCAAATTTCTCATCCACGACTAAGATTTCTCAATCACCATATTGATACCGGCACTGATCTCGATTCTTTTTTTATTTGGATTTGAAATCTACCAATCAAGATGCGTAAATCGTGTTTATACCAACCAATCTTTGCGGTTAACATCCTAGCTTTGTATTCTCGGCGCTTACAATCTGATACTTCTCCAACCGTGAAACTCTTCTTCCACACCCTCCAATTATAATGCCGAACACCCTCTCAATACAACAACGGACTTTTCCGTTCTTCACCACTCACAATCTCACAGCTTCTTTCTCCCAAGCATCGAAGACGGAATCCGGTTAGTAGGTGTGGGTAAATACCTTCCAAACATCTCAAATCCATCTTCTTGATAACACCTGGGCAATACTCTGTACATGAAAAAAGGCACGTGCGCACGCAACACGAAATAAGCATCAAGAAAAAAAAAACGTGGGTGACATGCATGCACGCGAATAAAGTCCTTGTCTGCAATGCAGCGCGGAAAAG